TTAAAATTTTTTAATGTTGAGATTTTGGAGGCAGATGTTAATGAAATACGTTGATGAGCTTACGAGATAACTGACATTGAAAGTTAAATTTGAGTGTCGTGAGCAGTTTTACAAGATACTTTTAGTGGGTATAAAAAATAAACAGATTTTTTAAAAAATCATTTCTACAGGATTAAAGAGTTGGGACAATGCAAATATCAATAATTACTGTACTAAAATTTCAAAATCTCGTCTTAAACCAACTTCATCTTCAATGGTCAACATTGCTCGCCCACTAGTTGTGACTCAAAAAGCGAGGCAACACCTTTAATGGACAAATAAATCATAGAACTGGACTTCGCCTTACCTCTGATTCATCGAAGCAAAGAAGGAGAGCACTGGTTCCTTGTAGAATACCTCTAGCACCGTCAATGAGTTTCTTTCTGGCTGGCACGGAATATGGATCGCCCTGTAAAAAGGTTGGGAGATATTTTGGTTGTAAGTAGGCAGATATAGTATTGGAGCTGTTGGAACCTTAAGCATATGACACGCATCCTCGAGCAGACGTGAGCTATTCTCGACTCTTTGCAGAGCCGGTGGCATATCTTGTTGCAGGATACGATCATCCGACGAGTCGCAAGTGTCATAGCCGACCTAAAGGAGGGAGGAATTAAAGCCGTGTGCTCACCTCAATAACTCGACGATAGCTATAGGAAGATTCGTATTCGCGCTTGTACGATTCCTGAAAGTGGCGTCGCATCGGCGAACGACGGACGGCCGTCGTCGACGTCGATGCACTCGTCGAGCTCGAACCCGAGCCTGAGCTGTCGCCACTTGCAGTGCCCGCACAAGACGCGCATGTTGACTGAGCGCATTATGTGACGGTTAGTCGCACGGTTACTACTCGCGAGCAAACACTGATTCCAAGGAAATTGCGTCCGGAAGTACGCGAAGTCGTTGGCGCAACGGCTAGCCGGTCAGTGAGCTGATGCAACAACGCGTTTTCATTCTTTTCTAAGAAAGTGCATTATTGCTAAGATGAGAAAAGAGAGGAGAGATTATCCGTAGCTTGCCGCAGATTTTTCGCATTATGGTGTTTACAGATAAGTTTCAAAAGTTTCCTCTCTGACAGTTAACATTTTCTTTAATAACAGCTGAAGTTTTTCTTTGAGCAAGGATAAAATAAAAATAAAAATTTATGATTTACGCTATGTTTTTGTGCTCACTTTGCTACGAATTACTATTTCATTACCGTATTACTTCAGCAAATTTGTAGCAGACCATACAGTAGGCATTGCAAGTTTACGATATTGTAGTATTATTGTTGTGTCAGAAGAAATTTCTGGCTCCAAAACAATAACCTGAGAAAAAGATACTCAATATTCCTAAAAAGTTGTTCATCGATCTCATGACCATAGTCTATGCGGA